GCTCTTTATTTATTTATGTCTTGTTTCTTTTTAACCTGTCTCTTTGAGCGCCCAACAAGCACTGTGTAAGCACCATGTATTATTTTTATTATTATTATGATTATTATTATCTATAAAAACATATTTCTGAGGAGAACGGATTCAGCCGTTAAGTGGCCGCAAATGTTTTGAACCTTGAGCCTAAAAACATTACATCTACTCGTTCATATTTCTTTTATTTTGATTATAATGAATCAGGTTCAAACTTGTATTAATCTTTGGTCCTGATGTAAAAACACACTTCAGTCATGAGGTGAGGTACAAATAAGGAGGGAGCTTAACTTTTGCACTTCAACAGGACTAAACAAAGAAAACTAAAATAAATGTTTTATGTATATAATGTATAATAAGTAAATGTCTATTGTGTGTATTTAAATGTAAACATTTTATTAATATGTGCTTTTCAATTCATATCTTTATATCTATTTTGTTTGTACTTTTAAAAACGTGTTTAGACCATGAGCCACAGCACAGTCCAAGTTTGTGACTTCTGTTACTTAATACAACAAAACAAATAATTGTGATTCTAAACCCTGTAAATTACAACCATATCTTTCTCTTCAAGAGCTTGAAATGAATCCAAACTTGAGCTAAACACTTTTTAAAGTACTGCATTTCACCAAATCTTGAATCAACTGGTTTTATATAACTTTTAGAGATCACTCTGAGAGCAAAGAGAAGAAGGAGAGACTGACCGAAAGTTCGGTGTTGCAGACACGGCGGAAACAGAACGCTGGCGCTTAAATCCTGCAGCATCACGTCTGACGGAGAGCCTCTTCCCATCAGCCGCACGGCACCACGGGGGAAGGGCACAAAGTTCTCTGGCAGAAAAAGAAAACTACAAAATAATATCAAAAAGTCTGTAGAAAATACTGTGTGAGGTTAAAGTTTGTTTGAAGAAATCAGAAGTCATAAATCCATTCTTTCAGCTGCTGCGGACGGAGCAGAGTTGGAGAGAAGGTGTGCGCCGCCGGAGGAGAGCGGGCTGATGGAGAGGAGAGAGAGAGAGAGAGGAGGGGAGGGGAGAGGGAGGGAGGGAGAGGGAGGGGAGAGGGAGGGAGGGGGAGGTGTGTGTGAAGAGGGGGGAGAGAGGGGGGGTGGTACCACAGCACTGCAAAAAACCAACAAGACACACAAGAGCACAGGGAATGCCAAAGAACACACTTCTGTTACAAAAGCTCTGCTCTCGTCCCTGAGGAGTTAAACTTACAGTAAAGAAACTATCGCTCTGTGGGAGAAACATGTGACATCACAGGTGACAAACATGAGGCCCCAGGCAAAACACACCCTCTCTCAAGGCCAATGGAGTGATTCTCATTCCATGTGCTGCTTATTTTACAAGGAAAAGAAAAAACAACATTATTTTATTCTAAAAATTTAACTCAATGAGTGAAGTCCAGGTCTCTGTCTTTTTAATGGGTATCCTGTGTTCTAAATAAAATTCATCGGTTTTATGTCTTATCTTGTATATATAACGCTTTTTTGCACACTCGAAGATGCTTGACAAGTCATTATTATTTTACTCCACATGTGATTAACCACTAAAGTCTCTTCAGCTGCCCTGGGGCACATTAACAGAAGCGAGGCAACCAATATGTGCCAACAGCCCTCTGACCACTAACCAACAATTTACGCACACAGCAGACTCATTCTAGGCAACCTTGGAGAAGTGTCTTTCCTATAAGAACACACCAAAGTTTGTCACTTTATAGCCGTAGCTGCCCCCCCGGTGTTCCTATAGAGGTCTCCCATTACAGTATAAACCAGGCCATGCCTTGTTGAGCTTCAGAGGTCTTAAGGGACCTGGCTTTCACATGCAAGTATGATCACTACATAATGTAATGAAATAAACATACTTGTATCAAACACAAAGGCCTCACAGTCTGGTCACAATCCGTCTCGTTCTTCTGGTTCCATTATGGAAGTTTCAATTTGATCCATAGAACAACCTCTAAACTCAGGTTAATTAACAATAATCCTTTTCTCTAAATACCTATAATTTATACCAACACTATTAATATTAATAAAATAACTTTTTAAAATAGATACAAAACTTTACATTGAGTATTAAAAATATGCCTTGTCTTTTGTCCAGAGTGAGCTGGACTCCCCTGGATAACATGGAACAAGTGGAAAAATACATGTGGATTATTCATGTGTAAATTAAGTGACAAATTGTGGCACAAGAACGTGATAATTCAAGCTGAATGAGTGAGGAGGGGAGTGGGGTTGAGGAGGGGGTTCCTCTTCCGAATGATGGTGCCCTGCTGTGCTGCCACGCGAATAGAAGTGTCTTGCAAACCGGCACGTGGGAGCGGAAGTATGGGCCTCCGAGAGGATTCTGACTTTGTTCCCACTGAGTTTCTGAGTGGTACCTTGCCGATGCAGCAGGGTCTAAGGACAGTGATAATACATCCCATTTCTGCACATTTATTAGTTTAGTTTAGTTTAGTTTAGTTATTTAAGATGACAGGGACAGTGTACGACAAACAATAACCTCAAAGGGAATAAATAAAGCTGTAAGCTGCTCAGTTCTGAGCCAGGACAGAGCCTCCAGGAGTCAGGAGTGAACCAAGGAGGCATTTACCTAACTTTAAAAAGAGAAAAAGCATGTTTTTGTGTGTCCCAAAGTTAATTATTGAGAACAAATTAGACAATGTGTGCTTTTACACTTTTTCATTATCAGGAGGAGCCATATGAGTCACTATTTGACGCTTTGGGCTCAGCTGATGATTGGCAGAGTAAATCTGAAAAATGTGATTTAAATGTGACAGTACTTTAATGTGACAGAGGCCAAACAGGAACTTGAGATATGGGTTTTATTACCAAGCTACATTTTTAGTGATAGTTGAGAACTCCAAGTTTAACCGGAATCGGCAATAGTGACCATATAATAAGAGAATAAATAACATCCCCCTTTGATTATTAGACTCAAATTAAAATCTAATAGATTAACTTAAAGTGTTTAAAATCCTTATCCTGAAAGACAATAAAAGACTGGGGTTATGTACAATTCCCCATTTTTGAGTAGTTTCAATTCAACAATATGTAGCCCTCGAGCCATTTGGTTATCTTGACGTATATCTCTTGTATTTAAAAACGTTGGTGAGTCCTGTTTTAGAGCCTTCACCCAAAAAATTGAAATCCTAAACATAATCTAATCTCAGATTTGAGGCCTGTTTTTCTTGGGGTAAAGCACAGTGATTACTCTGAACTGTGCTATACAAATAAACGTCTAATTCCAAGCGTTCTACAGCTCCTTTTTTGCAGTGTGCGGTGAACAGGAGCTCCAAGCTCCTCTTGATAATTTGTGATGACACCCGGAGCCTTTTCTCCCTGCGCCCCCTCCTCCTCCTACTCCCCCTCCCCACACCCCCACCCCCTCTGTAATGTATGCTCCACACAGCAGTCACAGTCGTGCAGGCTTCTAATTAATCCCAATTTTTAAGATTAACATTTTAAGATTAAGAGATCCTTTATTGGTCCCACAGTGGGGAAATGTTAGTGTTAGTTTCTAGTTACAGGACAGAATGAGCTTTATGTTTCTACACAGCCTGTGGACGGCAACTGAACATCTGTGTCCAGGGGAAATACAGCTGCACTGCACCGGTGCTAGTGTCCTCAAAGTTTGAGATTGAAGAATTTTGAAGAACTATTACCTCCTCATGGTGACCTCCTGTTGTGAGCTCCTTTGACACCGCTTCTCACTAAGTTTCTCATTTTATGGAGATTTTTTTTTTACAGAGAGGGCCAACTTCTCCACAGAAATAGAAATGGTATTTTTTATTTCATAAAGTCTTGCATCAAAGCTCATTGTTTACTTTTGAATGCGGAAAAAGCAGCAAGTCGTAAGTAGCTCTGAAACAGTTGTTGTTTTGTGCTTTACAATTGTTTTTTTTCTTGCTTTTTTCTACCTGAGATGTTGCTGCGGTGCAGTGTTCGTCTATCTATTGTAATAACTGGATAGGGTAGCACTAGCTTGGAGTGGAAAGACCTATGTGTTCTCGGGATTCTCGCGGTACTGAAAACTAAAAAAGACTAAGTTCACGTGGGCTACCCAGATTTTGTTCCCATAGGACTCTATGTAAACTAAAACAGCTCAACATCAGCTGACAGATCATCAACAGCTTTCATAAAGGTCGGATTTTGTGGGGATTTTAGTGTCCCTTGTCATCCTGAACTTTTTTTCTTCTTAAATCCTTCGGTTTTTTTTAAATCCACACTTTAGTGCCACAAACTCTGCTTGTTTGGCTCTCGCTCTAACTCCCGCTCTAACTCCGCTCTGATCAGCAGCGCTGATTGGTCAGAGTATGGCTGAGCCCCTCTGTGCACGTGCGTGAGAGCCACACACGCGTATTTGGCGCAACGCATCATGGGAGCTCGTGCACTGCACAGAACCAGACAATGCCCAAATATAGGCAATTTCCGCTAATCTTGTGGCGCCCATGCCGGCACATGCACCACTGAGCACAAACCATTCATTTTAATATGGCGCCATCTTGGATCGCCGGGGCTTGCTTTGGACAAGATAATGGTGCAAACCAGGCGGCTCCACCCAGTGGCTACACCACCTCTGCTGCTGTGTGTGACGGGGCTACGCAGTTTGCCCTAGTATAGAGAGCACCACACGTGCTCCTTTACCCTGGAGCGTCGCTGGGCTGGCAGCTTCAAAACTGGCTTTCCAATACTTCAATGCTCGGAAGGGGAGCATAACATCGCACTCAAGCAGTACCAGTTGGTGAGACCAAAGACTAGCCATGATCCTCCTCCAGGTAACTCTGCTGGAGGAGGATGTTCTCTGCTTTTATTGTCAACAATCAGGATACAAGGCCTCACTCTGCCCTATCCCTAAAGCAAAGCTCTCTGGTGCATGTTACACGCCACGGCAGAAAAGACACAGACAGACTGTGACTTTGAGACGGCATAAGCCTCTGGTAGTGAATGGACAAAGAGTGAATGCTTTATTGGACAGTGGCAGCTTCATGTCTCTTGTAAGGCAGGATCTTGTACCAGTGGGTAAAATAGACTACGGGGTACAAGAAGACATTGTATGTGACAGACACCTCTATCCAACCACTGACTTGACTGTGGACATTGATGGGCAAACCAACCTGCTGACGGCGGGGGTTGTGGAGAACCTGCCGGTTCAGGTAATACTTGGCTGGGACCTACCCATAATGTTGGACTTCTTATTGGACAATAAACATGCCCCCGAGGAGAGGGAGGTAGTCAGTCTGTCCTGTCCGATACTGACTCGGGCGCAGGCTAAGAACAATCTCCAAGTGACATTGGACTCAGGGGCAGGGGGTAGCCTGAATTCAGTTGGTGATACAGTTGGTAATAGTGTACCTGATGTACCATTTTCTGCACCAGGAGTGACCAGACAAGTGGGGAGAGTTTAAAGACCATTGGGAAGTGCCAGGAGACATGTCAGAGATACAAAAAAGTGATTGTACGCTGAAACAGCTGTTTTCAAAGATACACAGTTCAAAAGAAGCTAAGTTTGACCTGGAATATTTTGTACTTGAAGTTCTAAACGGCTGGTAGTTCCTTCCACTGCTAGACCACTTGTAATGCACCTTGCACATACACTTCCATGGGCTAGGTACTTGAGCTAACACGAAGATAGGTTTTATCTCGGCCCAAGATTTTATTGGCCCCATCCATTTATTCCGATATACAGAAATACTGTGCTTCGTGTCCAAGTAGCCAAAAGACATGCTTTGTCCGCAAATCTGACCGAGCTTTCCTTCAGCCTTTACCCGTCATTAACATTTACTTCCGCTGCATAGCCATAGATATTGTTGGACCCCTCCCAAAAGTAGAAGAGGGTTTCAGTAAATCCTGGTTATTTCGTATTATGCCAGCCAAAAGACCTGGTATCAAAAGGTCCTCTTGCTGCTGCCATCTGCAAACAGCAAGCTGTTGGCGAAGTGGCAGGGGCCTTACACAATTGATCGCAAACTGGGCCCTGTGACGTATGAGGTGCAACAAAAAAAGTCAAAACAAACTTATCATGTCAACTAGTCCAAGGCGTGGAAAGATGCACCACCTCCCTTGCAATCCCTACTGGTGAAGCATGTGGACCCAGATGAGGATGAGTTGGGGAAGGAGTGCCTACCCAAATCTGCAGTTCCCTTGTTGCCCACCTCACTCCGGAGCAGACAAGTTCTAGGTGTTTGAAAAAGCTCCATCCCTGTTCCAAGCCAAACCTGGACAGACTACTTTAGTAGAGCATGTGATCCGGTTGAAAGAGGGACGCCCAATCCGCCATCGGCCGTATCACATTCTCCAGCACCTAGTCAACAAGCTCAGAGAGGAAGTAGAAGTGCTGAAGCGGTTAGAAGTCATTGAACTGTCTAAATCTGAGTGGTGCAACCCAGTAGTGATCGTGCTGAAGAAGGATGGTTCCCTCAGGATTTGTATTGACTTTTGCAAACTCAATGCAATTTCAGAGTTTGACGCCTACCCCATGCCGCATATTGATGAGCTGCTCGAGCGCATTGGAAGTGCCCGGTACGTCACCACCCTTGACTTGTGTAAGGGGTACTGGCAGGTTCCCTTGGAACAGTCCAGCCGACCTTTTACGCCTTCCAGACGCCAGCCGGTCTCTTTCAATTTACGGTCATGCCCTTTGGACCGCATGGAGCCCCGGCCACCTTCCAAAGATTAATGGACAGAGTCGTCCAAGGGTGTGGTCAGTGCAGCGCGGCCTATCTGGATGACGTGGTGGTGTTTGTCCCACCTGGGAGGAACACTTGAACCACTTATCTTTGGTTCTTTAAAGTCAGTTAATGTATTTTGCGTTTGTGAAACGCCCTGGGGAGGGGCTTGGGCTTTAAGAGCAGGAGCGGGCCGGCATGCTCAGGTTAGTTGACACTTGGTTGCAGAGAAGGCAACACCTGAGATGAAACATACGCCCACGACTTGTAAATATTGCACTGTATTGCACTGGGAGAATATTGGGAATAATAAATCACTTTTTGACTGAGCCATTGTGTTTTTGGGAAAAGACCCCACAACACTGGGACCTAAAGTGTTGTTGCAGTTTAATCCTATTGTACTTTTAGAATGATCTATTTATTTGTTTTGTTTGTTTGTTCATGCTGCTACTGGACACCTGAATTTCTCCTATGGGGATCAATCAATCTATCTATCTGACCAAACCAGCCCACAGAGAACATGAGGATGAATACATACATCTGACATTGAAGATGGCGCCTATGTTTGGTTGTGCCTCTGCTCGTCACCTAAAATGTTGTTTTCCAATGTTTTTTCCTATGTTCTACATTACTTGCACTGCCATCCTGTCTGCACTGATGGCCAGTGACTGTGCCGTGGCTGTACGGATTTACAATCGACCCATGGTGGACCCATGGTGGGGCAGAATGGTCCCGGGTTTTATCCCCGATGCTGTACCGGCTTCCTGTGTTTACTCCTGTGGACCGTCTCTGGACCAGCGGTCCTTCACGTGACCGCATGAGATGTCTGCGGCAGATCCCAAAGTGCTCAGCTGATCACGCAGCTGCTTCACCTTCGTTCAGCCGTTTTGGATTACTAAACGCCGGCTCCATTGCAAATAAGTCTTTCTCTATAAATGAGCTCTTCTCTAGAAAAGACTTGCACTTTCTTTTCCTCGTTGAAACGTGGCAACGGGAGGATGAGTTTATTCACCTGAATGAACTGTGTCCAGCGGACTGCTCTGTTGTTGGGAAGCCCCGCCCCTCTCGCCGGGAAACCTTTGAATCACACATGATGCAAATCGGCTCTACAAACACATTTTATTGTGTTTTGATTTATTGTCCCCCTGGCCCTGCTGGTGCTTTCTTAGCTGAGTTTACTGACTTTTTATCGTCCATTTTAAGACTGGAGAAGGTCTTAATCCTAGGGGATTTTAACCTGCACATTGAGGATTCTTCGGGTCTAGTTGCTGATTTTGTATCCATGTCGGAAGCTTTTAATTTCACACAGCATGTCTCAGGCCCCACTCACGTGAAAGGCCACACATTAGATCTGGTCTTTACACTGGGCCTGCAGGTGGCCAATGTGAGTGTTGAGGATGTGCACCTAAGTGACCACTACGGTGTGTTTTTGATCTGCTGGGGTCTTCAGAACCTCGCCCTCTACCTGCTAAAGTAGAGAGGAGGATTATAACAGAATCAACTGCAGAAAGGTTCTGTGAAAGCTTTAATTCCTCTGTTGTAAATGACTGCACCGGAATGGATGAGCTCATGTGCTCTTTTAATAGTCACTGTACATTCATCCTGGACCAAGTGGCTCCTTTGAAAACTATTAATATGGAGCATCAACAGACATCAATTAGTCCCTGGATTAATGACACTGTTGTGAATCTTCGGAGATCCTACCGTAAAATCAAACGCTTGTGGCATTCCACCAAACTTGAGGTTCACAGACTGCATCTGAGGGACCTTGTCGCTTCTCTTGACGATCAATTAGATGAGGCACGATCAAAATATTTTCATCAGTCGATTGTCTCCAATAAGAGAAACCATAAGGTGCTCTTCAACACCATCAATTCTATTGTCTCTCCTGCTGCCGCAGCTGTTGCTGTGCAATGCAGAGCAAGCTGTACTGAGTTCCTGAACTTCTTTATTGACAAGGTTAGAGCGATTAAAGACAATCTTCCTTCCTCTCCTTCCTCCAGTCAAGCTCACATTGACCCTCCTCCTCAGAGCTGGTCATCCTTCGAGTCAGTCACTCAAGAGGATATTTTATCCACTATAAAATGTATGAAAGTGTATGAAAATGGATGTTGTTCCGGCTCGGCTTTTTAAAAAATGTTTTATCGGTCCGTCGATTACTAAAATGATTAACATGTCGCTCTCAACTGGTGTGTTCCCTTGTTCTCTTAAACATGCTGTTGTGGAGCCCCAACTAAAGAAACCCAGCCTGGACCTTCTGAACAGATCTTCAGAACTTCAGGCCCATATCAAAGATCCCGCTCTTGGCCAAAGCCTATAATCAATTTACAGCATTCTTGGAGGCTAACGATATTTTAGACCCCTTTCAGTCTGGTTTCAGGAAGTTCCACTCCACTGAAACAGCTTTACTGAAAGTGTCTAGTGACATCATGATGGCTGCCGATTCCGATAAATGTTCCGTCCTGGTCCTGTTAGACCTGTCGTCTGCCTTTGACACGGTGGACCATGGCATCTTGGTCTCTAGACTACGGGGTGTGGTTGGTATGTCAGGCTCTGTGTTAGAGTGGTTTAGATCATACCTTACAGGTAGAACCTTTTGTGTGTCCTCATAACAGCGTGGTGTCTGAATCCGCAGACCTACAGTGGGGTGTACCCCAAGGCTCCGTTCTTCGGCCCATTTTATTTATGTTGTACCTGCTCCCTCTAGGAAAGCTGATCCAGCAGTTCAGTGAGGTCTCCTACCACCTGTATGTAGACGATCTCCAGCTGTACTGCTCTTTTAACCCCTCTGAACCCCAGAGACTGTTTGCTCTCACTAACTGTCTAGACAGAATAAAGATATGGCTTAGTGACAATAGCCTCCAGCTGAACTCGGGTTAAACAGAAACCTTAGTTGTAGCCCCGGACAGTATTGTGCCTGTCATACCTTGGTAACCTAAGTAGCTCAGTGAAAAAGAGTCTGAGGAATCTTGGAGTCACTTTTGATGAAGGGATGTCTCTAGAACGACACACCAAACAGCTGATCCGAAACTGTAACTTCCACTTGCGCAACATCTCCAAGCTCAGACACATGGTCTCAGGTCAGGAGCTGGAGATAATTGTCCACACATTTGTTTCCTCGTGATTGGACTATTGTAACAGCCTGTTTACATGCCCATATTACTCCTATCTTTAAGTCCTTACACTGGCTCCCTGTCTCACATAGAATCCATTTTAAAATTCTGGTGCTGACATTCAGGGCTCTTCATGGTCAGGGGCCTGAATACATCCAGGGCCTGATCCACCCCTATGTCTCAAACAGGAGTCTGAGGTCCTCCACTCAGAACTTAAGACGCATTTGTTTAGACAGGCTTTCTCGCCTCACTGTTCATAGGCCTCTGTGAACTGTGTAAACTGTGTTTTTCTGTGTTTTGTTTTTAATCTGAGTTGTATGTGTATTTTATGTGTTTTAATCTGTGAAGCGCTTTGTGATCCTGGTCTGTGGAAGGCGCTATACAAATAAACCTTACTTATTACATACTTACTTTGCTGCTGTATAGCAGTTGTCTGGCCTGTACCGTCCTCTATACTTCTCCATAGACTACAGAGACAGCAGCAGCCATGCCTCTGCACGTTCTGGTGTGTATGCATGCCGCATGATGCGAGCTGACTCTACCGAGGGGAGGTGTGCGTCTCCTCACTGCGCTTCCGGTGTGTAGGGGCCAGCTTTAGATCCATGACTAGATAGATAGATACCTTACTGATCCCCCGTAGGAGAAATTCAGGTGGGTTAGGGTCAGCAGCAGAAAACGCATCCATATAAACACATAAGTACAAACATTCTAACATTTCTAGCTAACTACCTAACAATAGTGCATATCTTTTAACCCATACTAGTCTGTTGTACAGTCTGACAGCCGAGGGAACAAAGGATCTTGGATCTCATTACGTTCGGTAGGGCAGTGATATAAGCCTGTTGCTAAGAATACTCCTCTCAACGGCCATAGTGTCATGCAGAGGGTGTCTGGAGTTACCATGCCCTGCATTAGAACCCACATCCATCTCTCCAGCACAGCTCCCACAGAGTCCACACTTCTCTCCATCACAGAGATACATTTCCTGATCAGCCTATCGAGTCGGTTACTGTCTCTCGAGGTCAGACTGCCGCCCGAACACGCGACCCCAAAGAACATCTGACTGCTCACATCAAAGGACCTCAGTCTTCTCAGGAAGAAGAGTCTGCTCTGACCTTTCTTATGGTGCTTTCAGACCGGATCATGCGTTGCGTCGGGTTTCAATGCAAAGTCTATGGTGGCGCGCGGTCGACCGTCACAACGCACGGACCTCTCGGCACGCACAAACGGACTGTTCAATAATGACGCACGGACTTGGCGGGAAAGTGAAAAGGGAGGAGCAGGAGCGAAAAATCAACGCCCACAGGAGATGGATTCTGCTCATCCTTTCCTTGCGACGTTCGTGCGACAACCAATCAGAGAGCAGCAAAGTGGTCACGGGGACATTAGCGGACTGAGCGAGCAGACTGAAAATACTCATAAACAGCCAAAACAGGACCCACACCAGACTTCACCAGAACTCAAACCAGGGTTGACAATGGGGGACTCTGTGCTTGTGAATATATGCATTGTCATGCTCCTGTGACCTTATGCAACTGCTTCGAGTGTGTTCGCCAATGCGGAAATGCCGTTTAATAATATAAAAAAACGTATGGCGCACCTCCGTGAACACATATTACTGTTGTATAAAGCCCGTGGAATGTCTGTGAGCAAAGACACGCTGCAAAGCTGCATATTGGAGAAGATCTGTACACAAGAAGCCGCCAGCATGGCTCTGTTAGCATTAGAGCCGGCCGGCTACTTCCGGTACTTCCGGCTCGCGTCAGGACGTTCTGGTGTGAAGTCCTTTGCATCTGAAAACTAGAGAATGCGCGTCTGGTGAGCGGGGCTTCAGCGTTTCAGCGTTGCTGGTCTGAAAGCCCCATTATAGACAGTGTTGGCCTGTGCTGACTAGTCCAGTCTGTGATCCAGGTGGACTCCTAGGTTTTTGTATGACTGTACCACTTCTATGTCCTGTCCATTTAAAGTGACCGGTTGATGGGACGGGCTCTTGTGAAAGTCAATGATCAGCTCCTTGGTCTTGGACACATTGAGAGTCAGATCATTTCTCTCACTCCAGTCTGAGAAGACTCCAGCCCCTGTACTCGGCTTCATCCCCCCCTTCAAACATGCCACAATAGTGGGATCGTCCGAGTATTTTTGTACATGGCATGTAGATTAAGATGAAGCGATCCTTTATTTGTCCCACAGTGGGGAAATTTCGGTGTTGCATCACAGGTTATAGGACATTAGGAAAGAGGAGCACACAGCACACGTTAAGTGAAAAATAGCTATACTAAACAAATTAAAAATAATCTCATTCTAGCATCAATATAAAGTATAAAATCTGTATCTTGAAAATTTAATAGATGTAAAAATTTAAAATTGACAAAATAAGAGGCAAGTATAAAGTACTGTGTAATCTAGTGCAAGTAAAGTGTAGTTATATGTTAGCATCTGTACATTAGCAGCAGTATGTTTACATCTGTACATTAGCAGCAGTAGTATGTTTACAACTGTACATTATCAGCAGTATGTGTACAACTGTATAATGGCAGCTGTGTATTGCACATTCTGGTATAAGGTAAGGATATTGCAACGATGCGAGAATGACACTGGAATCAAGTTGGCAGTGTTCATTAGTCCTTATTGGTCCTTCTTGTTTGTTGTACAGTCTGACAACAGCAGGGAGGAAGGACCTGCGAAACCTCTCCTTCACACAGCGAGGGTGAATTAGTCTGTCACTGAAGCTGCTCACCAGAGCAGAGAGAGTGTCCTGCAGGGGGTGACAGTCATGGTCCAGCATAGATGTTAGTTTGTCCAGGACCGTCCTGTCCTCCACCTGCTGCACTGTGTCCAGGGAACAGCCCAGGACTGAGCTGGACTTCCTGATGTTCCAGCTTCTTCCTGTCCCTCTCTGTGATGCTGCTGCTCCAGCAGACCACACCGTACAAGAGGCTGATGCCACCACAGAGTCATAGAAGGTCTTCAGGAGTGGCCTCTGCACTCCAAAAGACATGAGCCTCCTCAGTAGGTAGAGGCGGCTCTGGCCCTTCTTGAAGAGGGCGTCTGTGTTATGAGTCCAGTCCAGTTTGTGGTTCAGATGAACACCCAGGTACTTGTAAGAGTCCACTCTCTCAATTCCCTTTCCCTGGATGTTCACTGGAGCTGGAGCGGCAGAGTGACGTCTACGGAAATCCACCACCATCTCCTTGGTCTTCCCCGCGTTGATGAGGAGGTGGTTCATGTCCTTGGTCTTCCTCACGTTGATGAGGAGGTGGTTCATCTCCTTGGTCTTCCTCACGTTGATGAGGAGGTGGTTCATCTCCTTGGTCTTCCTCACGTTGATGAGGAGGTGGTTCATCTCCTTGGTCTTCCTCATGTTGATGAGGAGGTGGTTCATCTCCTTGGTCTTCCTCACGTTGATGAGGAGGTGGTTCATCTCCTTGGTCTTCCTCACGTTGATGAGGAGGTGGTTCATCTCCTTGGTCTTCCTCACGTTGATGAGGAGGTGGTTCATCTCCTTGGTCTTCCTCACGTTGATGAGGAGGTGGTTCATCTCCTTGGTCTTCCTCACGTTGATGAGGAGGTGGTTCATCTCCTTGGTCTTCCTCACGTTGATGAGGAGTTGGTTCATCTCCTTGGTCTTCCTCACGTTGATGAGGAGGTGGTTCATCTCCTTGGTCTTCCTCACGTTGATGAGGAGGTGGTTCATCTCCTTGGTCTTCCTCACGTTGATGAGGAGGTGGTTCATCTCCTTGGTCTTCCTCACGTTGATGAGGAGGTGGTTCATCTCCTTGGTCTTCCTCACGTTGATGAGGAGGTGGTTCATCTCCTTGGTCTTCCTCACGTTGATGAGGAGGTGGTTCATCTCCTTGGTCTTCCTCACGTTGATGAGGAGTTGGTTCCGCTGACACCAGTCCATAAAGTCCTGTATAACTCCTCTGTACTCTGTGTCATTGTCCTCGGAGCTGAGTCCGATGATGGCAGAGTCGTCAGAGAACTTCTGTAGAACACAACCGTCCGTGTTGTGTCTGAAGTCCACAGTGTAGAGGGTGAAGAGGAACGGTGCGAGGACTGTCCCCTGGGGGGCCCCCACACTGCAGGTCAGGACCTCAGACACAAAGTCCCTGGTTCTCACAAACTGGGGTCTGTTTGTGAGGTAGTCCAGTATCCACTGGGACAGGTCGTAGTCCACACCGGGTGTCTCCAGCTTGTCCCTGAGAAGCCTCGGCTGAATGGTGTTGCAGGCACTGGAGAAATCGAAGAAGTGGAGCCAGGTTTCTCTAGGTGGGACAGCGTGCGATGGAAAAGGGAGATGATGGCGTCCTCAACTCCGATGCCCGGTCGGTAGGAAAACTGCAGCGGGTCCATCGCTGAGGTCAGAGTGGAGCGGAGATGTCCCAGGACCAGTCTCTGCAGTGTCTTCATGCAGTGGGATGTTAGAGCCACCGGCCTGAAGTCGCTGAAGTCTTTGGCCCGTGGTTTCTTGGGCACTGGTACCACACAGGACGTTTTCCCGAGCTGTGGTACCGACCTCAGCCTGAGGCTTAGGTTGAAGACGCGCTCCGTCACTTCGCAGAGTTCATCTGCGCAGGAGCGAAGGAGCCTGGAGCTGATGTTGTTTGGACCACAGGCTTTCCTTGGCTTGATTTTAAGCAGCTCCATTCTGACCTGTGCAGCAGTGAATGACAGGGGTCGGGATGGGGGCTGCGGGCTGGTGGAGAAAAAAACACATTGTGTCTCACTTCCTAAGTGGGCACTGGCTTCACACAGCTGTATTATAACAGCAGTTACCAAAAAAGTAAAAAATAAGTGGCTAAAAAGTAGAAAAGTGAGAAGAAAAAGGGAGAGCAATGCAACTTGCTACCGCCCGTGCATGCGTACTACGTAGCAGAGTTGTGTGCAAAGTCTGCAGTGTAGATTGAGGAAAGGAGCCAGAACGGTGCCCTGTGATGCTCCAGTATTGCTCACAACAGTCCCAGACACGCTCTTCCCTAACCTGACGCACTGTGACCGCACAGTGAGGTAATTGTAATCCAATTGGTAAAGATGGGATCAACTTCGATCTTCTCCAGTTTCTCCCTCAGTAAGCGAGCGTGGATGGTGTTAAATGCCCTGGAGAAGTCATAGAACATCAGCCTGACATAGCCTCCTGGGCCATCCAGGAAGGACATGGACCAATGGAGCATTGGTCGACCGCGTCGTCCACTCCCATCTTCTCCTGATAGGCAAACTGCAAGGGGTCAAGAGCCTGCGCGACCTGTGGCATGAGCAATCGGAGTACTAGCCTCTCAAGAGTCTTCACTATGACAGATGTTAGTGCCACTGGTCTTTAGTCCATGCATCCTGTCGGCCTTGCTACTTTAGGGCTGCCATCACACCACCGACGCATGACGCAGCGTCCACGTGCACTGAACGTATATTCACAAAATTTCAGCTGCTTGAGTTTAGTAAATCTGAAAACACAGGGTGGAAGTGGCGGCCGGGCTTTGATGCGAACGGGGTTAAGCTAGCCTGGTTTATAGTAGTCATTTTCATTGACTGCCACTGAAAATAAATCGTTTTTCACAATTTTCCTCTCCGTCTGTGTCCCCTGTATCATATTTGTCTGGGGTTTGGCTGTAGACAGTGTTTTATTGAGCCAGCAGGTGGGAGCAATGCTCTGTGGGTGTCTTGGTCAAAGGTGACTGTTTGAGCGCTGTGTGCAGGAGAGACAGAGGCGAAGCGGGGCATGGAAGAATACAGCCAGGGACAGGCTTCATTTGGAGGCAATTTGAACAGTTAATGTGTCTCTAGAGCTGACAGAGACCACATGGAGGGTCAGGGCAGTGGTGCACCCGGAAAAAGCAACAGAAAAGTGGAATATCACTAATACTATTACTGAGCCTGCACCAGGAGCCAGCGGCTCACAGTGCTCACTGCACTTAACAGAATGACACTCTGGAGATGTAACCGCATAAACGCACATACAGTACATTGTGACGGGGTGAGCCCGTCCCTGAGCACGCTGTCCCACAGAGCGCATGTGAAGTTGCGCGCGTCTGGTGCCATGGTGGCTGCACGCCGCGCCCAAGCCCATTCATTGACCACAGCTAGTATAGGGACTGTGTTTGTGACATGTAGCGTGCGGTAACGCGTCTTCAGGGAGCACACTTGGGGCGGATACATCTAGTTACAGGCGAGTGGCCTGTGCTGGCAAACCCGGACACGAGCCAGGGGATTAAAGTGATTGTCTGGAGTTTGTCAGAAAGAGAGACAGAGAGGTGCTTGATTTGAAAAAAACGACGCAAGCTCCTCCCCCTTCCTTTCTGATTGGTCTACACCTACGTTTCCATAACACTTTTAAATGTTAATCAGAGAATACATTATACATATACATTATTAATACACATGCACGGAGGTTTTCAGAATTATTTTTAAACGTTTTAATGAAAAAAATAATGTTTTTATGCACACAAAAAGCGATCGCGGCAAACCCGGAACAAGCTGTTATCATGAACTGCACATTATAGGACACATCTGCAGAGGATCTGATCATGGATATAGGTTCAGTATATACATGATTATGGATATAGGTTCATATATAAATGATTATGGATATAGGTTCCGTATATACATGATTATGGATATAGGTTCAGTATATACATGATTATGGATATAGGTTCATATATAAATGATTATGGATATAGGTTCCGTATATACATGATTATGGATATAGGTTCATATATAAATGATTATGGATATAGGTTCCGTATATACATGATTATGGATATAGGTTCATATATAAATGATTATGGATATAGGTTCATATATAAATGATTATGGATATAGGTTCAGTATATACATGAGTACTTCAGCGCGGATGTTCAGAATTCTTTGTTCAGTTTTCATGTAGTTCCAGAGCCTACAGAGGCTTGATTCGGAGGCTCCTGAGCATGAGCAGCTGCAGCATCAGCGCCGATGATTGACAGCCCTTGGCATCACTCGATTGGTTAACCTCGACGGCATCGTGGATTCTGAACTATAGCTAAGAGCAGGGAAGGCGGGACTTACCCGTAATATTAGAATTCATAAAATGACTTATTTTATATCAACATTTAAGGCCAGGAGGTCAATTTAACACATTTCCTAAAATCTGTAATTCATTTAGAGTTACAGACTATCACTTTAAATACACTTGTCTGTGGGTCATGTGGACCACAGCTCATTTGCATGTGTCGCTTGAAATATATTTTATTGTGTGAATGTACAAGTGTAAATCATGAACCTAGGGAAATACTCATGTATTGTAGATATGTGCTTGTCTGCCCCATGGGAGTCGTGACTCTGTTACAGACGAGGTAACGTGGACTGCAGGAGCGAGAGTGAAAGTGAAAGGAAAGGAGACTTACTGTAGAAGTTGTGTATATTTTTATTTGTAAATATCCTTTTCGCCTGAAGACTGTTCACTGTGCTCTGTAAATACGTTTTTGTACATTTCCCACTGTTTTTTCTAGTGTGTTTTTAATTAAAAACCTCTTAAAACGCCCTTTCCGACTTAGCCATCTGTATATGAATAAGAACCCTTACAACATGCGCACACAAACACACACAACAGACTTTAGTATACGCAAGTGCAATTCTATTGCACTTACACTAAAGGTATATAGTGTTTATCATTGAAATAACATATATAACATAACATATGTATGACAAACAGATTTTATATCGATTATATTTTGTGAAACTGCAAATTATACACAGACTGTATACAATTTGTATATTCTCTTTCTTGCCATATATGACCGATGTGCAAAAGGTGCCGTTTTCAGGAGATAATCAGATAAAAGTCAAGTTATAATTATACAAACCTCATACCGAAGTCTTATAATGTATATATTTTATGTGCAACTTTTCCATATGGGGAGACTGTAGATCCAGGAATGAGACTGTAGATCCAGGAATGAGGCTGTAGATCCAGGACCCAGGCTGTAGATCCAGGACTGAGACTGTAGATCCAGGACCAAGGCTGTAGATCCAGGACTGAGGCTGTAGATCCAGGACTGAGACTGTAGATCCAGTACTGAGGCTGTAGATCCAGGACTGAGGCTGTAGATCCAGGACTGAGACTGTAGATCCAGGACTGAGGCTGTAGATCCAGGACTGAGGCTGTAGATCCAGGACTGAGACTGTAGATCCAGGACTGAGGCTGTAGATCCAGGACTGAGACTGTAGATCCAGGACTGAGACTGTAGATCCAGTACTGAGGCTGTAGATCCAGGACTGAGGCTGTAGATCCAGGACTGAGACTGTAGATCCAGGACTGAGGCTGTAGATCCAGGACTGAGGCTGTAGATCCAGGACTGAGACTGTAGATCCAGGACTGAGACTGTAGATCCAGGACTGAGGCTGTAGATCCAGGACTGAGGCTGTAGATCCAGGACTGAGGCTGTAGATCCAGGACTGAGGCTGTAGATCCAGGACTGAGGCTGTAGATCTAGGACTGAGGCTGTAGATCCAGGAATGAGGCTGTAGATCCAGGACTGAGGCTGTAGATCCAGGACTGAGGCTGTAGATCTAGGACTGAGGCTGTAGATCCAGGACTGAGGCTGTAGATCCAGGACTGAGACTGTAGATCCAGGACTGCGGCTGTAGATCCAGGACTGAGGCTGTAGATCCAGGAATGAGGCTGTAGATCCAGTATACAGACGTTAGCTCTGTGGCAGTGGGGGTCAGCCTGAGCACCCCCCTCCTCTTCAGCTCACATCAGTGACCCTAAAACCTAGTCAATGAGCGCAAGCAGGCCTGTGCGGGGGTCTCGTGAGGCAGCTCTAATTGGCATGTTGTAGCCTCAGTGCTGGTGGATGCAGAACAATTGAATTTAGCTAAATGTCTAGGATCCGTGAAATGAAGTTCTCCTTGTGCTCGGCTTACCTCACAGGACTTCATGGATCCACACAATTTTGTCACTGGCTGGTCTACAACAGCGGGTCGGCTTGGCTTCTGAAACAGACCTGATTGTGTTTTGACAGCAGTGTGTGTGTGTGTGTGGGTTTGAACAGTCTGAGGAGTGTGTCTGTGTTGTATTTGAACCATGGATCTATAATAATAACTGGATAGGGTATTGCTAGCTTATAGCCGATCTACCCATGGGCTCTGTAGACTAAATAAGACAGGCCCATTTTAGACGGAGGCGCTGCGCATACGTTGCCAAGCTATTAACAGAAACAACCAGGGTTCTTATGCAAATTTCACAGTGTTCATACGAGGATGAAAAACTATGTAGTTCTAGCGCCTGGCCAGTAGTGGGCAGAGGAACTTTACAACACGACAGCTTTACAACACGCGGCTACTGCGCATGTCCAAATATACTTGCGGGGAGGTGGGGGTCAAAGCAGGCAGAGAATTCATACCTTTTCCTTCATGCGGGTGTGAAAGAGCCCCCCGCTGAGCAGCGTACGTATCTGAGCTGTCCCACTTTGTAGGCTGGATCTTATTGCTGACGTTTTCAGTATTAGAACTGGCCTGCATGCCACTGCCGCCCACTGGTGTTTCCCCGCAAAATCACTACAGAGCCACCTCGGCTTCATTATTCATCAGCATTCAGGGCAGATGTCAACTTTCAGCAACCCCTCTCCCCAATAATGGCTAAAAGGAAAAGGACAATGAGAACTGGGTGTTTCAAACTCGGTGGGAGACAGAATACATGTTCACGGAGGTAAAAGGCAACGCTGTGTGTCTTCTGTGTGAAGAAAGTGTGGCTAATCTAAAGCCCTATTTGCACAGGTATTACCTGTGGGCCTCTGGTCATTTTCCAATTACTGCCCCACCAACTATTTGCTGTTGTTTGCAGCAAAGTCTGTAAATTACTACATTTTCACTGACATCACAGCTGGATATGTTGTATCATAATGGCCCGTACACACATACCACACGTGTCATGTGAAGCAGAGAGACGCGTGTAACGGCCCGGATGGGAGACCGCAGGGCTGATTCATTCAATTGTTTGAGCCAGGAAGAGACAAAAACAACGCAGAAAAGGCGCCAATTGCAATAGCAATCAGCGATATGCAGATTGACACGGGATTAGTACTATCAGCAGACGTCTGCGTTTGGCCAAATACAGTAGGTAATTTGCAGCAGAATTTATACATTATAAATTACAAACATGGCACATTCGCACGGGACTAAGATCTCAGACATCCTCTGCAATTATCGCAAATTACCAGAGGTCCGCAGGTAATACTAATCCTGTGCAAATAGGGTTTTAAACCCTAGACAAGAATGTAGAGGACATGTGTTTTCTCTTTAAAGGAAGTTTGTTTTTGTCTGTGACCCTGTTGAAAATGGTTTCACTTTAAATTACTGACAGAGCTATAAAAAACAGTCTGAGGAGTGTGTGTGTGTTTGAACAGTCTGAGGAGTGTGTGTGTGTTTGAACAGTCTGAGGAGTGTGTGTGTGTTTGAACAGTCTGAGGAGTGTGTGTGTGTTTGAACAGTCTGAGGAGTGTGTGTGTGTGTGTGTGTTTGAACAATAATCTCCATTATAATTGTGGACTAGATAGATAGATAGAAAGATACTTTATTGATCCCTCGTAGGAGAGATTCAGGTGTCCAGCAGCAGAAGACCCATCCATGTCTGTTGTACAGTCTGACAGCCGAAGGAACATTGTAATTGTGTTAATTCACCCTCAGTTTTTCTCCTCAATCTCAAACCCATAAATTATGCCCCATTCTCACTTTTACCTGACGTCTGTATAATTGAAATGAACTAGAGAACGACCGATATTTTAGTTTTTGAAATATTAGCCATCAGCCTTGACATCTTCCAGATGATTTGCTGCTGTGGCATGTAATACATATGTTTAAGGCTAATGTCCACAACATTTTTGTCTCCAAACAGGATTATTTATTGTATTAATTTTGTGTAAATATGGATGTAATGGGCATCTCAGAAAGTTAGACAACAACAACTGTGCTATACAAATAAACGTGGCTTCCTTATCTTGCAATGCATTTTTCTAGCGCTGTCCATTTTTTAATGGTGTGAACGTAAAGTAATTTTAATAGCATACTTTGTTATTGCACAATAGACGTTCTTTTTGTCAGAGCACACGTGGTAGTTTTTTCACACGCTGTTGCAACAACTCGCACCGTTAGAAAAACTACAACATCACTCCGAAGGTAGCTCGGCCGAAATCAAAACAATTCACTTTCAGCTCGTGACGTGCCTGCAGACTATGGACTGTAAATACACATCGACGCTTATCGACGGTTATGTTTTGGGCTTACGAGCGAGCAACTGACATGAAAATAAACATATCCAAAAGAGTAGCCTTTATTAAACAATTAGAAAAGTAATTTCTACTTTGTTAAATTGTTCTATAATATATAGGCTATATATATATGTATATATATATATATATATATATATATATGTATATATATATATATATATCCTATATCCTTCCAAAAATTTCTCCATTGTGATGTGAATGTGACGTTTTACTGAGTCCGGTGTAGAGGGAATTGTTTGTGTCTAGTGCAGAACGGTAGAGAAGGAATGCGGAGACACGAGTTAAGTATAAGGTGCTTTATCAAACTGAGCAAGACTGCGGCACCGAGGCCGTATATAAGACCCACGCGCATGCGCCCTGGCGGTGCTTATGATAGGATGACAGAATACATAAAGCACTAGACTCTGTAACATCTTCCTTTTCCAAAACAGCTCAAGAATGCTATAACAAAATTCCTAAAGTTGCCTGGTATAAACATAACATGGCAGTAAACAACAAACAACATTTTTAAAACTAACCAATGCAACTAAAATAAAACAGAGGAACCATATGAAATATAAACTATTATAATACCGGTTACCAGTCTATTCTTTTAGGTGGCCTTGAAAGGCGCCCTGCCCTGGTGCGTACCAACCCCTCCCCTACACCTACAGTAACAGTGGAGGCTACAGGCGTGTGAGTAGCTGGTGAGGCCTCTACTACGGGCCTAGCAGGGCTTGAACCGGCAACAGTAGGATAAGCCCCCATCTCCCTTACTTCTGAACTGACAGTAGGTACACACTCACTGTCCCCAAATCCCAGAGCAGCCCCTGATTCTGCCACTCTAAGATCCACTCTGTTGCGGCGATAAACAGAACCGTCCATGTCCACAAGGTAAGACCGAGGCGCGACCTTGCCAAGACAGGTTCCAGCTCTCCATATGCGGGAGGTGTCGCCAGGAGGAGGCTTCATTCTGACAGTCTCTCCTACCTCCAGCTCCGGTAGGACCCGCGCTGACCGGTCGTAGAACGACTTGGCGAGCTGCCTCCTGTATTGAAGCTTCTCAGTAACTCCTGTCACCACCACCGGCTCAAGGAGTTTGTTGGTCACAGGAATGGATGTCTTAAGGCGACGGGACATGAGACGTTGCGCTGGGCTGCTGTCCATGTTTTCTGTCGGAGTATTGCGCCAGTGCAACACTGCTTTCCAAGGGTCGTTTCCATCCCGAGCGGCCTTGCGAAGCAGATTCTTTGCAATCTTGACGGCAGATTCAGCCTTACCATTTGCTTTGGGATACCTTGGAGAGGATGTCACATGCTCAAATTCCCACTCTGAGGCGAAACGAGCAAATGCGGAAGTAAACTGAGGGCCATTGTCTGTGATGACCCTGTCCGGCTGGCCATGTCTTGCAAACTGAGCCTTACAGCGCTTGATCACAGTCTCTGCTGAAAGATCAGGGAGGAGCTCAATCTCCCAAAAGTCAGAATAGTGATCTACAATGAGCAGGTATTCCTTGCGCCCGTGAGCAAAGAGATCCATGCTGACTATTTGCCATGGCCTTGTTGGGAGTGGATGTGAGAGCATAGTCTCTTTCTGCTGGCCATGTGCGTACTCATTGCATGTAGTGCAAGTGCTGACAAAGTCTTTGATCTCTGACTGCATGTTCGGCCAGAACAATGTCTCCCGAGCTTGCCTGTAACATGCTTCTCCCCCAATATGGCTAGCATGAATGCGTGCCAACATCTCTGTACGGAGTGATTTGGGAATAACCACTCTCTGACCCCTGAATAAGATGCCATTCTGAGCACTGATCTCATCACGATAGGGCCAGTATCCTCTAATAATGACGGGCACCTGCTCTTTGAGATCCGGCCAGCCTGTGGTGACTGTGTACCTCAATGCCTGCAGACCCTCATCATTGTCTGTGTGTCGCCTGATTTGTTCCAGGCGTTGGCCCGTTACGTTCAGGTAATCTGCTTGGTTCACCTGTTGCAGGTCCTCCTGGACCTCCTGCAGAAAACAGATAGCATGTCGCTGGTAGTAGTTAGCATTGCTGGCACAGGCCGCTGTTGCCCGACTGAGTCGGGCAACAGTGTGTCGCTGATAAACATTTCCTGTCCCGGTTTGTATACTACACAGAGACTGTAGCTTTGAAGAGTCATGAGCATGCCCTGAAGCCTTTTTGGAGCGCTGAGGAGAGGCTTGCCGAAAATTGAAATTAAGGGCTTGTGGTCTGTTTCTGCTGTGATAGCGTCACGGCCATACAAATAGTAGTGGAATCTCTGACATGCAAAGACAATGCTGAGACATTCTTTTTCAATCTGTGCGTAATTCCGCTCAGTAGCGGTGAGAGCTCGTGAAGCGAATGCAACAGGCTGTCCCTCTTGCATGAGACAGCAGCCAAGCCCGCTCTGACTCGCGTCACTCTGGATTGTGACAGGCTGGGACACATCATAATATCGAAGTACTGGCACAGTTGTAGCTAAAGACTTAAGTTCTTGTATGGCAGCTTCATGTTTTGGCAGCCAATGCCAAGGAGTGTCCTTGTCTAGCAAACGTCGCAGAGGCTCACAGACACTTGAAAGGTGGGGCATGAACTTGGCCAGATAGTTTGCAAACCCCACCAGCCTCTGTACTCCTTTTGCATCGGTAGGATTTGGCATATCGATTATCGCCCTCACCTTTTCCGGATCGGGTTTAAGACCTGCAGCTGAGAGAATGTGGCCATGAAAACGGACTTCGGACATCTTGAATTGAAGCTTTTTTAGTCCAAGCCTCAGCTTAACTTCTCTGCAGCGATTTAGCAGAGCCAGAAGTTTGGTGTCATGGTCGGATTCTGCTTCCTCGTCCGTATCACCGCAGCCCACCACCAGAATGTCGTCAGCAATGGGCTCGATGCCTTCCGGACCTGCCAGTAGCTCATGCTGCTTTCTTTGATATACTTCCGGTGCTACAGACACACCAAAAGGCAGTTTTAGCCAGCGTTTTCTACCCCATGGTGTCCAAAAGGTAGTCATGAAACTGCTCTCTGTGTCTAGCTTACACTGCAAAAAGGCATCTCTGGCATCGACCAACGTGAAGGTCCTTGCTTTGGGCAGCTTGTATAAAACATCTTCCAGAGTCGGCATTATGTAGTGGGAGCGCCGTAGAGCCTTGTTCAGAAACTTGGGATCAAGACAAATTCTCAGTTTTTGTGGTCTGCTCACAATGACCATGTTACTGATCCAGTCTGTTGGCTCTGTGACAGGTGCAACATGCCCCTCTGCTTCATATTTGTCAAGCTGGGCCTTAACTGCAGTTTTCAGAGCAATGGGGACATTGCGGGGAGCACTTTGTACTGGCTTCACGTCCAGATCTAGATCGAAATGTACTTCGCCAGGTAATGCCTCCACGGGTGAAGTAAACACATCGTTGTAATTGCTGACCACAGTGTCTTTGGTCAAATGTCCTGCTCGCACCACAGTGTCCACCTTGAGTGCATCTTCCGGAATAGTGAAACGTATGAAACCAAGACGTTCACAGGTATCGCCTGACAGGAGAGGCAACTGACCCTTTCTTACTATCTCAAAGGAGAGCTTGTGCTTAATGCCTTGGATCGTGCATTCTGTGTCAAAAACTCTCAATGACTTTATTATCTCCCCCGAGTACAGTCTGAGGCTGGCATTACTTTGGCGTAGTTTTCCTTTGGATGAGAGCTTTTTCTTATCTTTCAGTGTCATTATGTTGCAGGTGGCTCCCGAGTCAAGCTGGCACCTCTGTGATTTGCTGTTGAACTTTAGTGTGACGAACCATTTTTTCCCTTTAGTCTGTCCCACTGCACTGACTGACTCAATCATGTACAGATGTGTCTCCTCCTCACTGCTCTGCCCTGACTCAGCTTCCCCGTCCATGCAGAGCACCTTGCCCGTGGTACTGCCCCGTTTGCTTTTCATACAGACTTTAGCAAAGTGATTATTAGTCCCACACAATTTACATTTCTTCCCGAAAGCAGGGCAGTGGTCCCTGCCTCTCGTGTGGGTGTTTCCACAATACCTGCAGTTGGGGTCCACCGCCTTGTTTGAGTCGCTCTGCCTCGCTTTGAAGTGCTTAGCTGGTTGCCTGACAGCAGAGTGCACTGTCTCGGTGTGCATTACGTGTGTCCCAGCAGTTTCCATTACTCGCATCCTTAAATCTGTCTGCTCTGCAGCACGACACATCTCGATGGCTGTGACTAAGTTAAGATCCTTTTCCCTCAACAGTCTGCGCCTGGAGCTCTCACTTGCAATGCCCAGCACAATTTTGTCACGTATCATTTCGTCTTTTAATTGTCCGTACTCACACGTTGATGCTTTCTCTCTTAGCCTGGTCACAAAGGCGTCTATTGATTCACCGTCCTCTTGTTTGCAACATCCAAACAGATATCGCTCATAGATTATGTTTTTTGCCGGTTTGAAATACCTCTCCAGGGCGCTCAGTATAGCCGCGGGATCCTCTCTCTGCTCCGCCGTGAGGTTTAGGTTGTGACGGTAAACATGTCTGCATTCGCTGCCCATAACACTGCGGAGAGTTGCCGCCTGTATTTTTTTGTCCTTTTCCGCCACTCCAGTCACAAAACATAGTCTTCATATTCCGCGCGGAAAACATCCCAGTTAGTGCTCCAATCGCCCGTGAAGCCCATCACAGACGGCGGGGGAATGTTAGCCGCCATGCTCACTGCGAACGCGGTGCCTGTTGATTCCTCTGCGTCGGACATGAATGGCGCCAGCCGCCCGGTTTGGAGAACACAGCTACGTATTACAGGTACAACGAATGGTACAACGTAGTCACCACTTCTGACACCATGTTTGTGTCTAGTGCAGAACGGTAGAGAATGAATGCGGAGACACGAGTTAAGTATAAGGTGCTTTATCAAACTGAGCAAGACTGCGGCACCGAGGCCGTATATAAGACCCACGCGCATGCGCCCTGGCGGTGCTTATGATAGGATGACAGAATACATAAAGCACTAGACTCTGTAACAGGAATTGCAATTATCTAAACAAGAAGTAATAATGCATGGATTAAAATTTCAAAGTTATGACAAAATAAAAACGGTCGGACTTTTTTCAGAAGATGAAAAAAGTTAGTCTTCACAAAAGCGCTGATTTAGGCATCCAGTTTTTAGATAATTTCTTCTTAGAGGGTTTTGATTAATGTAAGCTTTTTACAAATCAAGGGATTTTTGGAACAGGGTTAAAAAGATCCTGAAGCCCCACTGAAAGATCTCAGCTCCTGTGGACTCACCACCTGCAGGAGGATCAGTGAGGGGCTGGTGCTCTGTGAACAGGGTGGCATCTCTGGCCACCCCCCCGACCCAGAAATGGATTAAGGGGAAGAAAATGGATGGATGGATGGGTAAAAAAGATATTAATTGCAATTGACTATGTCATTATGATTAATTGTGATCAAATCTTTGAATCGTTAGCTGGCACTACTGTTTATCTTTGCTTCCATTTCAATGATTTGCTTGTTTGTGAATGGTACAAAAATATGAGAAATGTTTCTGAAGAATTTCAACTAAATAGATTGATAAATACAGTGCTGCGCCCTCTATCTTAGGGCCCTCAGTCCCGGGGCCCCTCTGTCGTAGGTAATCGTGCATATCACATATCACGCTTGCGTTGCCTCTTTCACACTGTCATGGTGCAAACATGTCTTCACAGGATCCACTTCCTGTTTCCTGTGGGACTTTTCCAACTGAACATTCTGTGATTTTTACATGAGTCCTAACAGCCAGGACTCCTCCCCCACCCCTTCCCTCCTCTGCAGCCCCCCTTCAGGACCAACAAAGCCTCCCCCCTTGTCCAGTCTGAAGGATGAAAAGTGAAGGCTGCAGGTGTGAAGCGCCCACGCAGCACACGGAGGACACTGACGCTGTGACACAAGCCGCTCACAACTCCAACAAAAACTCCAGGCTTCTATCTGTAATTCTGTATTGCTGTGATTTTGTCAAAAAGACTCATTCCTTTAATATCTGTTCAATAATAACTTAATGATATTAGCAGTTGTAGTGTATTCAATGCTTATCTAACAATACATTTTTCAAATACACAGTATTTTTCATTCAGTCTATAGTAAACTGAGTATGTAGATGGAGATTCCAGATACAGAACTACTAAATGACACTGGTGCCTGGTTTATCTTGGGGGTGATGTGTTCTAAAAATAACCCACAATTAGTGAAATCCTTGAAGTAAACGTTCTATGTTTTAAGGCTGTAAAACCCCTCACCACACTTCAGAGTACTGTGAACTAATCACCACGGTGCACACGAGCCACTAAAGTTTTCTTATGACTTTAAATAAAATCATGTTAGCGGTTATATGATGTGTTGTAGTATACACGAGAAGCTTATACTGGTTCAAAGAGAAAGGAGAACCACAACATACTGAGAGACGAGTGAATTTTTTTTTTGCATGAAATGTGCTTTAAATCAAGAGCAAAACCAATTTTTTGATATTTAAAAAGACAAACAGTGAATCAGTTTTCATCACAGCAGACAGATTCACAGCAGAATATTATCAAAAATTATTACCAAAGTGAACCAGATTCTAGATGCAAAAAACTGGATCTACAGCCCTAGTCTTAATTCTACAGTTGGAACAGGGCCTTTCTGAGTGGAGTTTGCATGTTCTCCCAGTGTCTGCGTAGGTCTCCTTCGGGTACTCCTGTTTACCCTATCACTAAAAACATGTGCATTAGGTCTGGCATGTACTGTACTGGCAACCTCACCCCCATCGCTGTGTGGAGTTACAGAAAAATGCCCACAATTGTAAACCGCTTTGTGACTCTGGTCTGTGAAAGGCGGTATCTAAATGAAGATAACTTACAGCCTCCACCCTCGTTCGACAGACTTAGTCCTGGATCTTTAGCCTTAGTCCTGTATCTAAAGCCGTAGTCCAGGATATACAGCTTCAGTCCTGGATGTACAGCCTCAGCACTGGTTCAACAGCCTCATGGGAGGATCTACACCCTCAGACTTGGATCTACAGCCTCAGTTCTGTATCTACAGCCTCAATTTCTCACTTTTGTTAATATATTAAGCCACAACAAGATTCTTGTGATAACAGTGACCAGTTTGCCCAGTGTTAATGAGCTCTCCATGGCCTCAGTAGAACCGCTTCTCCTCGAATACTGTGGTGCATATTTCTAGTGAACACTCATAAAAAAAGAAAATGATCACAGTTCCAATAAAACTTACAGATTTGAGAAAACTTGTTGCTGTGTAAACTCAGCCAAAAGGACGGACTTAGAATGTGAGAGCTGTAAAACCAAATGGGGAGGAATTCAGGAATAAATATCTAGTCTCCGATAGAAAAGGAAGGAGTGGACAGAGCTCGGATGAAGCTCTGAAGGCTAGCTGCAATCACAAAGCTGACATGATTGGTCAGTTTTTGTCTAGATTTGAAACAAAAATACAAAATAAAAACACAAGGTTCATATCAAGCCTTATAATCTGTACATTAGGGTTAGGGTTGATGGTGGTGAGTGAGATAAAGAAAAGAAGATTTTACTCTTTGACCTTGATTTCTGCTCCCAATATCACCCAACACTATTTGGCCCCATGTCCACTCTTTCTATAGTCTCATCCCGTTTAAAATTATTTGAAATGTCATGTTGTGTTTTAAACTCGAATACATTTACTTGCTTGTGTGACTACGAATATATCAATGGTTTAAAGACAACATACATACATGAAAAAGAGAAAAAGACCAGAGAGAGATCAGAGATAGAAACCAGAAAGAGCCAGAACAACTAATGTTTTGTTTTCAAAGTTAGGTACTCCAGCTTTAAAACAATACATTTGATAACTTGGCCAGTCAACCCTGCGAACAAAAAGTAAAACTATTAAAACAAAAAAATGATTTACTGAAATCACAATTTAAATATTGAAGTTATTTTAAATACACTGTGAAGCTGTGAAGAATGTGTTGGTCGCTGTTCACAACAGTTGGGGCTGTTGGTCCTATCTTCGGGCTGGGTTTCAGGGATAGAGCTGTTTCTCTTTCAGTTCAGGACAAAATGGTTTTTGATCAGGCCACAACACGTCAGTCATGCAACACAAGTGTTTGGTACAGCACTCACAAAGTCAGGAATATAAAAAGTCTGAAGCCGTTTAAAAATACCATCAACGTTTACGCTTTTTCAAAAGGCAGAGAAAACCAAAGAGAGCAAGAGAAAGGCGGGTCTGCTCGTCCATCCTGCATCTCAGCTATGCTAATGCAAATGCCCAAAAGACATCAATAGCAGCAAAGAATATTGACAAAAAATAATGAATAAATAGAGCTATCTTTTCACAGACACATTCAAAAGTCACTTCACAAAGACATGTCTGCCAGAGGGAAACAGGTAGAAGTTTAGAAAAGGATTTGTATTTTATTTTGAGCTTTAAAGGGGCATAAGTGGCTAAACTTTGTAAGATCATCTTGTCCCATACTTTCTTTCTTTTTGTGGGGGAGGAGCTCACATGTTCCATATTCTCCCTGGGCTCTCAGTCTGGTCACCTGCCCTGGATGCGTCACCCGGGAATGAATGAACCACAAATACGAGACCCATGCATCTGATTGCGCCATACAACACAATACAAAGTTTCGGACGTGCTCTTGCATCTAGTTGTACCCACATGCAAACCACTTTTATTCACTCAAAAAAAAAACGTCCATTGAAAAGTACGGGTGAAACAACAAACGTTCAGGGCATTGTGCGCATCAACGGTTCCCAGCTAAAGTTTATACACCTCATGGAGTCTTACTGTTTCATTTGGCTAAGTTACTATTAGTCCAATGGCCAAATGGACCTTAAAATGGCCTTTATGATGAAACATGCTTACAAAATGGATTTTAAGCTAAGCTATTGGAGCCACAGTTGAGCATAGTAATAGCTATGATGCTAATTTGCTGAACAGAGCAGCAGCGCCTTGTATTTCATAATTCTTTCATTTTCATAACCAAGTTGTGTTTGTTTAAACACTGGTACGATTGAAACTTGTCGAGTTATTTAAGTTATAGTGTTTAAACTGGTTAATAAATTGAGTCATGTTTTAACCAATGATCTGAAGGCTTTGTTTCACTTAAGCATTGAGGTAAAAATGACATTTGTACTTAATTGTATCTTTGTTTATGGGTAAACCAGCATCAATTAATGCGCCTTATAATCCGGTGCGCCTTATGTATGAAAATAAATGCATAATTTGATAGTGCGCCTTATAATCAGGTGTGCCCAATTGTGCAAAAAATATGGTACTAGTTTTATATGATGTTGTTGGAGTAAATACACAGCGCATGAGAAGCAGCTGGAATAAAAAATAGCCCCCCAAAAAACAGTGAAGCAGCAAAGCCTCGAAAAGTGTTATAGTGAGGGACCAGTTTAACACAAAGATTCTCCTCTGACTGTGAAAGGGGAATATATCATCACACTTGTCAAGCAAAGATTAGAAGTAATTTTGTCCAATCAGGAAGCAGAGGGGAGTGTCTGACCAGTGCATAGATTTGAAAATTCTTTTGAAATTCATTTTACTGCATGTGGTGTCAGTGAGATGAACATGTTTTGATAATAAATCCATTCTAGATTTCTGAATGTTCACCTGTTTCACTCTTTTGGGCCGGTGGCTTTGTCCCCTGAGCACAGTTCACAGGTGAATCAAAAGGACAGGTGACGGCAACATAGCAGGTAAACAAGAATGAGTCGGCAGTGCTCCATCTGCCCTGGGGCTCCTCGGCTCCGTCACAGTGGGCTGCCTTTCTTCTGCAGGTTAAACAAGCGGCCTGGGCTGCTCTCAGTCCTTGCTCTCACTGCAGCTGATGCAGGATGGAGGAGAAGAAGCTGTGGATGTGAGCGGGTCCCATCAGCATCGGTGCCTGGCTCTTGTGAACAATCTCGATCTGAGAAGATACAACGTTCAAACTCAGGTTCAAACAGTCCCATAACAACTGGAGGATTGTATTTTCACTTTCTTTAATGCACTCTGGTTATTTTTAAAAATGTGTCTTTTCTTGTTTTTTTCAGCACTTTGACTTGCCTTGTATCTATGTATTTGAAATACAGTGCATCCCAGCGCAAACAGACAGTCTGTAAAAGTGCTCTGATTGCCTCTGTGGGTTCATGATTCTCAGATCCAAGAGGGGCCACAGATTTGGGGCCAAGACCCAAACGTTTGGTCTCCTGAGTTTTATCTTTAGACCATGATCAGATCTGAGATTGTGACCCGGCACACATTTGTGGCCTCAAGAGCTTGTTGTTTCGTTTAGCCTTTTTGTTTTGACACAAACTGTTTTTGTTTCGACAAGAACTTCTCTAATAACGGACAAATATTTAGAATATTTCAGTGGGTTGAGGGTAATAACCGCAGAACAACAGCATGTGGCTGGATAATGGTGTGTAGTTCATGAGAGCGAGATGAGACAGGAAGCTGCTCCATCTGCACGAGAAGCATCAAGCTGCACTGAGCTGTCGCTGAGACGTTGACTGACGAGCGATTACCACACAATAAAGAGAAAAGATTCTGTCTGTGATTTATACAGTAACCCGCTCTAAAGACATCTGTGCACACATGCACTAGAAAACAAATGGTTTGAATATATTTTAACTATTTAGACACAGAATGATGAAGTGATTGTATGAATACACTGAAAAGAGCGACAGGGGAACAGAACATATGTGAATGTGTCACAAACACAGACATGAACATGACCCCATCGCACTGACCCTCCTCCAGCTGCATACGAAGCCTGGAGTGCCTCCACTGAGCTTTCAGCTTGTGTGATGACCCGTCTCCTCCCCATCGCCCCCTCCACGGAGCGTCACTTCGTCAGCGTCAGGGTCTAGACCATGGGTCGCCCGCTGGCCTGTTCTAAAAATAGCTCAAATAGAAGCACTCAAGCCTAGTGAATAGTCGCGCAGAGCTTACGGTGGTGACGTGACTTTACTTGTGCAACGCGTGGATCACCGCAAGACCCTTACGTAGCCTGCTGCGCACCCTCGAACATACGCGGCTGCCGCCGCAGACAAGCTCCGCTGTGATTGGTCCGTGTGTGAGAGAAGCTCCGCTGTGATTGGTCCGTGTGTGAGAGAAGCTCCGCTGTGATTGGTCCGTGTGTGAGAGAAGCTCCGCTGTGATTGGTCCGTCTGTGATTACGTTCTGGGAAGCATGAGCGGCTGCAGGAGCATGGACGAGGCACTTCGGATCAGACTGCTTCGCGCCTCAAAAGAACCAAAGGAAAATCAGTTTGGGCTCATGGCAGAACCTGATATACACGGAGACTGTGGACTAGAGTTCTGTGGCATATATAACATATATTTAACTTAAAAACTGTGCAGTCGTTTGTTTTGCCCTGTTCCTGTCTTAGTTTGAATCGTAGCTTATCCCGTCTGTTGCATTCCTCCTGCACTTTTAAATTGTTCATGTTTGGTCTCAGATATTTACCACTTATTGTTTTGCTGGATTTTAATAATAACTATGTTTCCAACAAGAACTGTGTCTTTATTCACAACATCACAGTTAAATGAGTTGAAACGATGAGTCCATAGAACTGTCACGTAAACCTACAGTAGAAACACATGTAATGATCTCAAACAGCTTCGCTGTTGTTTTTGTTCTGAAGAGGAGAAAGAAGCAGCTTTGGTTTCTAAACTCCTGTGAAATTACCATCACATATGACATGATTTATTTAAACATTTGAGAGTTGACTTTTGTATTTTACATGAGTTATTATTATTTGTGCAAACACGGTGCAAAGTAATTCATGATTTGATAAAACATTTTAGTGGCTAGCTAGTTAAAATGGGATATTGTGATTTCACAAGACTGTCTTAGAAGTGATCGTTTGAAAATTTTCAATTTGAAAATTTGAAACTTAGAGAAAATATAAAAATAAAGTGTTGCATATATGATATATTTATTGTGAGAAATCATTAAGATGATCAGTGTTTCCAAAAAGAATATTATCATGAATTATTATATGACTTGGACCGTACGCGCGCTCTGATTGGTTGATTTGCGGTCTGATATTTTCCCATCTCGGACCGTTACCATGACGACCGGTCCGCAGCCCGTATCACACAAAACCAAGTTGTACATGAAAAGCATTGGTAAAGACACAGACGAGAGTCATATAATAAAACATTTATTAACTTCGCTTGCTCGGTCTGTACAGAGAAATATCAGACCTTGGTCTTTTTGCACAGACCTCGCCACGGCTCGGTCTGTACATTAAGGCTCGGTCTGTACATTAAGGCTCGGTCTGTACATTAAGGCTCGGTCTGTACATTAAGGCTCGGTCTGTGCATTAAGGCTCGGTCTGTACATTAAGGCTCGGTCTGTGCATTAAGGCTCGGTCTATGCATTAAGGCTCGGTCTGTGCATTAAGGCTCGGTCTGTGCATTAAGGCTCGGTCTGTGCATTAAGGCTCGGTCTGTCCATTAAGGCTCGGTCTGTGCATTAAGGCTCGGTCTGTACATTAAGGCTCGGTCTGTGCATTAAGGCTCGGTCTGTGCATTAAGGCTCGGTCTGTACATTAAGACTCGGTCTGTGCATTAAAGCTCGGTCTGTACATTAAGGCTCGGTCTGTGCATTAAGGCTCGGTCTGTGCATTAAGGCTCGGTCTGTACATTAAGGCTCGGTCTGTGCATTAAGACTCGGTCTGTGCATTAAGGCTCGGTCTGTGCATTAAGGCTCGGTCTGTGCATTAAGGCTCGGTCTGTGCATTAAGGCTCGGTCTGTACATTAAGGCTCGGTCTGTGCATTAAGGCTCGGTCTGTGCATTAAGGCTCGGTCTGTACATTAAGGCTCGGTCTGTGCATTAAGGCTCGGTCTGTGCATTAAGGCTCGGTCTGTGCATTAAGGCTCGGTCTGTACATTAAGGCTCGGTCTGTGCATTAAGGCTCGGTCTGTACATTAAGGCTCTGTCTGTGCTTTAAGGCTCGGTCTGTACATTAAGGCTCGGTCTGTACATTAAGGCTCGGTCTGTACATTAAGGCTCGGTCTGTGCATTAAGGCTCGGTCTGTGCATTAAGGCTCGGTCTGTGCATTAAGGCTCGGTCTGTACATTAAGGCTCGGTCTGTACATTAAGGCTCGGTCTGTGCATTAAGGCTCTGTCTGTGCTTTAAGGCTCGGTCTGTACATTAAGGCTCGGTCTGTACATTAAGGCTCAGTCTGTACATTAAGGCTCGGTCTGTGCATTAAGGCTCGGTCTGTGCATTAAGGCTCGGTCTGTGCATTAAGGCTCAGTCTGTGCATTAAGGCTCGGTCTGTACATTAAGGCTCGGTCTGTGCATTAAGGCTCGGTCTGTGCATTAAGGCTCGGTCTGTACATTAAGGCTCGGTCTGTGCATTAAGGCTCGGTCTGTGCATTAAGGCTCTGTCTGTGCATTAAGGCTCAGTCTGTGCATTAAGGCTCGGTCTGTACATTAAGGCTCGGTCTGTGCATTAAGGCTCAGTCTGTGCATTAAGGCTAGGTCTGTACATTAAGGCTCGGTCTGTGCATTAAGGCTCTGTCTGTGCATTAAGGCTCTGTCTGTGCATTAAGGCTCAGTCTGTACGTTAAGGCTCGGTCTGTGCATTAAGGCTCGGTCTGTACATTAAGGCTCGGTCTGTGCATTAAGGCTCGGTCTGTACATTAAGGCTCGGTCTGTACATTAAGGCTCGGTCTGTACATTAAGGCTCGGTCTGTACATTAAGGCTCGGTCTGTACATTAAGGCTCGGTCTGTGCATTAAGGCTCAGTCTGTACGTTAAGGCTCGGTCTGTGCATTAAGGCTCGGTCTGTACATTAAGGCTCGGTCTGTACATTAAGGCTCGGTCTGTGCATTAAGGCTCGGTCTGTACATTAAGGCTCGGTCTGTACATTAAGGCTCGGTCTGTGCATTAAGGCTCGGTCTGTACATTAAGGCTCGGTCTGTGCATTAAGGCTCGGTCTGTGCATTAAGGCTCGGTCTGTACATTAAGGCTCGGTCTGTGCATTAAGACTCGGTCTGTGCATTAAGGCTCGGTCTGTGCATTAAGGCTCGGTCTGTGCATTAAGGCTCGGTCTGTGCATTAAGGCTCGGTCTGTACATTAAGGCTCGGTCTGTACATTAAGGCTCGGTCTGTACATTAAGGCTCGGTCTGTACATTAAGGCTCGGTCTGTGCATTAAGGCTCGGTCTGTGCATTAAGGCTCGGTCTGTGCATTAAGGCTCGGTCTGTACATTAAGGCTCGGTCTGTGCATTAAGGCTCGGTCTGTGCATTAAGGCTCGGTCTGTGCATTAAGGCTCAGTCTGTGCATTAAGGCTCGGTCTGTACATTAAGGCTCGGTCTGTACATTAAGGCTCGGTCTGTACATTAAGGCTCGGTCTATGCATTAAGGCTCGGTCTGTGCATTAAGGCTCGGTCTGTGCATTAAGGCTCGGTCTGTGCATTAAGGCTCGGTCTGTACATTAAGGCTCGGTCTGTACATTAAGGCTCGGTCTGTACATTAAGGCTCGGTCTGTACGTTAAGTCTGATATTTCTCCATACAGACCTCGCGCTCGGTTAATAAGCCGTTATTATTCAAAATAACAGAGTTAAAGGTAAATTGAGCACATTGGCTATTTCTGGAAATTTTCGTCAGTGTGTAACAAACTGGTAGCCCTTCGCATTAATCAGTACCCAAGAAGTAGCTCTTGGTTTCAAAGAGGTTGGTGACCCCTGGTCTAGACCAACTCAGTCCTCAGAGAGATGGTGTGGTTTTAAATCCAAGCAGGAGCACACCAGACTCCACTCATTCCATCCAAGTCTAACCCGCTACCTCAATGAAGCCCAACAGGGAAGGGCTAATGATGAAGTTTGGTTCCAAGACATTTGGAGATGTTGGACTTCTTCCTTTATTATGCTAAAGATAGAGATGATATACTGTTTCTTTTTATTCCTGAGTTAGAGATTGTATTTTTTTGTATTGATATTTTTCATTTATCTTGTTGTGTGCTCCTCATTCCTACTGTCTTTAACTTGTGATGCAACACTGAAATTTCCCCACTGTGGGACAAATAAAGGATTCAGCTTGCTTGGACTTAAATCTATGGTTTAGAGCTCTCTGTGATGTTGGTGTGTACAGTATATAATGTTTTTTTTATTTATATAGCGCATTTTACAGACCAAGGTCACCCAAAGCGCTTTACAATGTTCAGAGTCAGATATTGTTCCAATCATTCCAGACACGGTGATAACAGAAGCGAGTCATAGACAGGGATATTGTCATGGGTAAATCCAGATATGAGCCCCATATGGATAAACGATGCCTTCAAAAGAACTCAAGCTTTCCTTAGCAACAAGTTGCCACAAAGCTAACATCGCGTAAAAAAAATGCATATAGGGAAATCGGCTCCCGCTAACTTATGTTCAAATCAGCTTCTTCTCCATTAATGCAAACACTATGGGGATGTTACATTATGGTCATATCGCACTCGGTCTTTTCAGATCTATGGTATGAACCTGAAGACTTGAAGAGATTGGAGTCTGGTGAGCACCTTTAGTCTTCAGCCTTTAGTCTTAGTCTTTTAATCTTGCACTAGTCTTCAATCATGCAGAAGGAAAACCGAACTAGTATGAGCGCCTGCAGCCACAGTTTCCACAGTACAACACCTTCTCTTAAACTCCTCATGCAAATGCAGTGTTAAATATGTCCTTGATATGAAGACACCTCATTTGCATAGTTGTTGTTGTTAATAATTGCTGCGGCGCTAACATCTCGTCTGAGCTGTGAGGTTTTCATATCTGACATACAGTAGGAGAGAGTCGCCATGGAGACAACACAATCAATGTGGGTGAGTTAGCCCTGTTTGTTCTTGCTGGTCGTTTTAGCCCTGGATGAAGTTATTATTATATTTGGAGCAGGCCCTCAGAGCAGCCGAAGGGTGCGAGGAATGAGTGTGGCAATAAGTCAGTTAGAGAAAGATGTTTACATGAAAGCTACAGACTCTCTTATGTGCATCTGTGAGGAGTTTGTGGCCTACAAAGATCTGTGGGATTGAAGGATTGAAATCCAGGAAAGGCAAATGTTCATTTGATTCACAAACTGGACTGGACTCATAACACAGACGCCCTCTTCAAGAAGGCCAGAGCCGACTCCAGCTGAGGAGGCTCAGGTGTTTTGGAGTGCATTGGTCACTCCTGAAGACCTTCTATAACTCAGCCATCTTGTACGATGTGTTCTGCTGGACAAGATAGTCAGGAAGTCCAGTTCTGTCCTTGGCAGTCCCCTGGAGGAGGGTCCTGGACAAAGTAAGTCCAGGACAGTCATGGGTTTATGCTGGACCATGACTGTCACTCCCTACAGGACACTCTGTCCACTCTGGAGAGTAGCTTCAGTGACAGACTTATTCATGTGTCTCTGTCACTTTACTTTACTGTGAAATAATAACTTTAATAATGTCAGAATGTACAATATAGAACCACATGTGTTAATGTTACTGTCACTTTACGGAGTCACTTTGTTCCAGACACTCAGGCTGCTAACATGTACAGATGTATACATCCAACTATATATTACTTACACTAGAATATACAGTATTTTATACTTGCTCCGTATTATAATAAAGTCAGGGCTTCTTCATCATGCTAAAAACTGAGATTTTATACTGCTTCGTTTTATGCTAGAGTTAGAGATTTTATTTTATTTTAGTAAAGAGTTATTCATCTTCCAATTGTCTGAAACTTGTGATGCAACCCTGAAATTTCCCCTTTGTGGAACGAATAAAGCATCTCTTAGGGTGTATTCAGACCGGAAAAGTCCTTTGCTCCGCTTGCTTGCTCCGAATCAAAAGCGGACCAAACTTTTTTTCTTTTGCTCCGGTTCGTATTCAGATTGTACTTTTTGCAAGTGAACTTTTTTATATAAACATATTGACACGTGTGACGATCAGCTCCTATTGGACAGAGAGAGCTCACGGAGGATAGACGCGGAACCGGCAGAAAACATTGAGGGCTCGTATGTGCAGCATGTCTGCTCTTTTTAGACCAAAACCACCTTCAACATCAACAGCAGCTCATATGACGCAGGCCAAACACGCTGTTTTAAATATTGGAACAGCGTCGGAGAATGCGTGAGGAGAAAGCGGATTGTCATTGTTGGAAAAAGTTTATTTGCAGGTCTGAAATGACTATGTACCGGAGATAACCAACTCGCAGTGTGAGGCTACTTCCCCGTGATGGCGGGGGGAGGCGGGCTCACGAGGAGAGGAGCGGACTGCTCTCTGGATCAGCTCGGTTGAGTTTAGGTGACATCACCTCTATGCAAGAGAAGGCTCTTGCATAGAGGAAGTTTTGAGTGTATCACTCCAAATATTATCACACAAGTGCATAGAATGGACTTTGAAACATGAAGAAGAGCGCAATATGGAACCTTTAAGGTCAACGTTACTCACGGTGCAAGGCGTCTGCATCCAGGGCTCTCCGTCGATCTGCATTGGAAGAGATTTGCTAGTTCTGTAAAAAAGAAAATTAATCTCATAAATATGTAGGGAATTTTTTTTTTCAGGAAGCATCTGATGTCTGTATTGTCTGTATTGTTACTATGTCTCGTCAGCTGAACTCAACCACTGGACTGAAAGTTGCGTCACTTAAGTTTGTATTTTGATGACGGCTTAAACTCTTAGGAATGCCTTGTGCACAGACTTGTACTATACAAATACTCGTGTCTTGCTTGTCCCCTCGCACAGTACCTGATGGTGACGGAGGAGCACCGGGCCAGGCGTCTCCCAGCACTCTTCAGCCCGGTGTAGATTTGACCCATCTCCATGGCCCCCTCCGGACCCACTACCTCCAGCAGCCCGTCCGACACATCTGCACAGACACAGAATACATGAACCAGATGTTTGTAAAGAACCGGAAGCTGCTGCCGATTAATCATGGGCTCAAGTTTGCAACAAGGATCAAGGCACAGGCCAAAGAAGGCGCTGGCCGTTTGTTCGAGTTGAAGTGTGGACGCGATAAATTGAAGGTGACATCTTAGTACATTTTGCAAACTGAAAGTCCAGCTTTGCATATTAAGGTGTGTCTTCTAGTATGAAAGGAGCTACAGACTGTTTGAGTTTTAGATCTGTCCTGAGAGAGGCCGAGCTGAGCTGTGCTCTGTCTCTGTCAAGACAATTTCTCCTTGTAAATGAGTAATAAGTAAAAGATTAACTATGTCTGTTTATTGTCTGCGACAGTAACGCTTGTACTGATATCTAACCACAGTTGTCTAAACTGTGGTTAGATATCAGTACAAGCGTTCCTTAATTCGGCAAAAGATTTACTGGTGGAGATAACCATGCTATTTTAACTATATCAGTCAATTTGATTAAACAAAGTCTTGTTTACATGTCGCGTCCACGCGATTGTCAAGTGGTCGAGACGTTTGGAGAGATCTGATCATTTAAAAAACTAAAGTATTCCTTCTTTGGCAGTCATTCACCAGATTGCCAAAGAAATAATACTGAGAGTTGAGGAGCACTGTAAAAGACACATATTTTCTAACAAAGACTTCCGTAGGACTGCAGTGTACCTTTAAAGTCTATTTTCTGAGGCACAAGAAGCCAGTGCACCTGAGCCTGGACTAATTTGATCATACTTCCAGGTTCTCGTCAGGACTCGAGCTGCAACTGTTTTACCACTTTTTGGAGAGACCTGTGAAGAAGCCATTGCTGTAGTCTAACTGACAGGTGACAAACGCATGGATACGAGTCTCCAAGTCTTTTTTAGACACCATGTTTTTCAATTTTAGCAAGTAGTAGTAGTAGTAGTAATAGTAGTCCATTTTCCATCCATCCATTTTCTACCCTTTAATCCATTTCTGGGTCAGGGGGGTGGCAGTCAGAGATGCCACCCAAGTCTCATAGCACCAGCCCCTCACTGACCCTCTGCAGGTGGTGAGTCCACAGGAGGACGGCTGCTCTCTGAGTGTGAGCATAGCCTTGATCTTTCAGTAATCTTTATTTATATAACGCCTTTTCACTCCAGATCAGAGTCTCAAAGCAGTTTACAATTGTTTTTTTTGGGCATTTGTCTCTCACTCCACACAGAGATGGGAGTAGGGCCAGTACAGGGGGCACATGCCAGACCTATTGTGCATGTTTTTAGTGGTAGGGGAAACCGGAGTACCCGGAGGAAACCTACGCAGACATGGAGAGAACATGCAAACTCCACTCAGAAAGCCCTGGACCAACCGGGATTCGAACCCAGGACCTTCTTGCTGAGGCGAGAGTGCTATCCACTCAGCTACCGTGCCGCCAGCTGCTGATGTTACTGATTTGATGTGGCTTCTGAAACTAAAGTCTGAGTCCATTATTACCCCTAGATATCTGATTTGATTTGAGGATTTTAGGGAGAGAGACTGTAGGTGACAGATGACACTCTCTCTTTGTTTCTGGGGTCCGAAAACAATCAATTTTTCTGTATTTAGCTGGAGAAAGTTATTTCGCTGATCTGTTGGATGCAGTGAAGGAGCAATTTCACTGGTCCATGTTCTCCTGCAGTCAGTGAGACATAGATCTGAGTGTCGTCAGCGTAATTGTGATAGGAGACATTAACTGACCTAATGACAGCATGTAAGTGTAGTTTAAAGGACTTTAATAAAGCAAACATACAAAGTAATCCAAAAGTAATGTAACAAATCACTCTTTTTAGAAGTAACAAGTATTTTGTGACTAATTAGATTTTCAAAGTAACTTACCAAACATTGGCTCTGCAGTGTTCCATTGTGGTTAGCAACTGCAGCTGATTGTGATGTCACATACATGTTACACCATTCTCACAACAGAATGGTCTCGGATCCCATCCCCACCACACTCACTGGCAGCGGAAACACCAGCTCCAAACACAACAGCTCTTAATTAGACGGCACAGGCAAAGCATCTTGTGATCATATAATTATTAATTTCTGTGGTGTTCTGTGGAGCATTGATTTGGGCTCGGCTGGGGGCCACCGTGTCACGCAGGGCCCATCTGTCTGCACGGGCCGCTCCTCAGCCGCCCCTCATCAAGCAGTGGGAGCACAGCGCACTAATTGAAAGTAAGAGCCATTTTTATTCTGATACCCGGGATTTAAATTTGATAACAAGGAATACTAAAACAAGAAGAGTGAAGTGAATGACGCCACTATATGTATGATGAATGCATTACAACAGAATCAACACGTCCGTAAACGTGTTCAGACCACAACATGCTGCTTTGGGCTGAGGGATCTTCTACAACCTCTGTCAGAAGAAGATGTTAAAGATGTGCCTGAGGCGATAATGACATACCCCACTTAGCTGCGTCTCTCGCCTATACAACCCTGAAACTTTTTACGTTTTAGGATAAAACTCTACAACTAGCATTAGAACAACCAAAACACAGCACAGAGTCAAGCCTTTCCCCGTGCCTCAGGTCACCAAGACGTCTGCCCCAGGTCTCTGAAATGTCTGCTCTTTCAAATCAAATGGCCTGTGCTCATTGGCTTGTTCTCGCACCATAGACGTCCTAAACATTAGTTTTGCTTCTCTCTTTTGCAGGAGGTGTGCAGTTGGGCTGATCAGAGCGGATCGAGAGCAGGACAAGTTGGTTGCACCAAAGTGTGGATTCATGCTTCACTGTTCATCCTATAATATTTTGAGTGATACACCATACAACATTCAAAACTTATGAGATTATAGGGGTCTCTTGCATAGGGGTGATGTCACCTCATCTCACACAGGCTGATCCAGAGAGGAGTCTGCTCCTCTGCCTGTGAGCCGCCTCCTGCAGTGGCGTAGCCTCATGCTGAGTTGTTTATCCCCAGAGTAAACTCTTCGACCCACCTGTATATAGTCATTTCAGACCTGTGAATAAACTTTTTCCAACAATGGCAATCTGTCATATCGAGCCCCATGTCCTCGATGCAGAATCAGACCCTAATTATTTAGTTAACAGAAGTATACTGTGTGTTGCCGTCTTTTATTGTGGGAATCAACCACATTACACTTACGAATCTCCAGAGTGTGTCAAAAGTTGTTTGTGTAAAACGAGAGCCTGAGCGTGGCACTTAGGCTTTTTTCCCGTTGTTCTCTTCTTACAACGAGGTTATTTACGTACAAATTATTCTGTTACAGATACAAATGTCAAATTACACACACACACAAATCTGGGTATACATGCACACAGTCCAAGTTACACTCTGCAAAGGCAGGACTGAGTCAAAAGATCTGTGTGTAAAAAAAAAGACTTGTGTGTAAAACGTAATTTTTTTTTTTTACACACACACACACACCGATCTAGTTACACACACACAAATCTTGTTAGACACTATTTACACACGTACAAATATTTTTTCTACGTACACACAAAACTGGTTATGCACGCACAAATCTGGTTAAAAAAGCACAAATATATTAACGCACACAAAAATCTGTTATAAATATAACAATATGTTTTGTTAATATAAATATTAACAAAACAATAACAGCTCCATATATAACATTGGTTTCCAGTAAGTCCAGTTTGATAGTAACTGTAGTTCTAGATTAGTCTTAGAAGTATTGCAGATGAAAAGATTAATTCAAAAAGAGGCAGTTCCCGAGCAAAACAAATCGAGCCACATTCTTCTGCTTTGGGCCAAATAGTGCCTCACATACAGTACAGACCAAAAGTTTGGACACACCTTCATTCGAAGAGTTCAAAGAGTTTTTTTTTATTCTCATGATTATGAAAATTATAGACTCAAACTGAAGGCATCAAAACTATCAATTTAACTCCTAGTAGCACCTTTTGCTCTGATTACTGCTTCGCACACTCTTGGCATTCTCTTGATGAGCTTCAAGAGGTCCTGAAATGGTCTTCCAACAGTCTTGAAGGAGTTCCCTGAGATGCTCAGCACTTGTTGGCCCTTTCACCTTCACTCTGTGGTCCAGCTCACCCCAAAACCATGGTTCAGGTCCGGCGCCAGGTCATCTGGCCCAGCATCCATCACTCTCCTTCTTGGTCAAAAAGCCCTTACACAGCCTGGGTGTGAATCTACAGTCAATAGTCAAGAAAAGAAAGGAAACTCATTGAATGAGAAAGTGTGACCAAACTTTTAGGTCTGTACTGTATTTACACCCAAAAAACACATTTTCTCCAAGTTGACATGATCCTAACAGTTAATTAGTCGCTGACAAAAGCAGAAAAACAGTATAGCTCAATGTGGTGGACGTGGGACAACACCATAGACAGACGCTGGACTTCAGAGATGGCTGTGCACGCTGATTCGTTGTTTCGATTTGTCATTCACCTCCTGAATTTTAGTAGTATTATTATTATTATTTTTGACAGCAAACAGCATATTGTTTGTGTAGTTTTCCCTGTTTTGACGACAGTGTTTAAGAACCATTATTGTGGATCCGGATTTATTGCTGCCTCTCGAGCATGAAAGAGATAGATCACCCTCTAACTAAAGCTTGATGCAATCAATTAAACTACTCTGGGAATGTTTATGAAGGCCAAATAGCACTGAAATGATGTTTAAAGCAGAGAAAAGTCAAAAAGTGTGTTATGGCACAAAAATGCAATCCATATCCATGCAGTGCATTGGGATGTCCTTTTGAAGAATAAGTAGCGCAGATTTGTGCTGACGTGACAATACATTTTAGATCGAGTTTTGGTGAAACAAGGAAGAGAATGTGTTTCGGTCCAGATTGTGACCAATCACAGCGGACCGCTGGCCCCCGCTTTCTTGAGAAAAGCTACAGGTCTCTTGTTAGCACAGACAGCTGAGTTAGCACAACAAGCGGCGGAGGCTAACCTGAAGCTTCCCGTGTCTTACTGGTTACTGCTTACTCAGCAAAACAGACATCCAAAAGAAAGTCTCATCCTCTCCGCGCTTCCTGGTTCTATCATTCTATGGTCACGCCATCCAAGTGCAAAAGCGCCATATTGTTCCATATTGTGAGACGGTAGCGACAAACGCAGCTACGATTCAAACAAGACAGGAACAGTGCAAAACAAACGACTGCACAGTTTATAAGTTATATATATGTTAGATATAAGTGATATATATGTTAGATATAAGTGATATATATGTTAGATATAAGTGATATATATGTTAGATATAAGTTATATATATGTTAGATATAAGTTATATATATGTTAGATATAAGTGATATATATGTTAGATATAAGTTATATATATGTTAGATATAAGTTATATATATGTTAGATATAAGTTATATATTGAGAATGAGGAGTTGACGTCACGGCACAGAGTCCCCCCTCCCCATCCCCCCTTTGCCGACATATTGGCTGCGCACCGGTGGCGGCAGTACAGTTTGTTTACGTGTGTTGTGAACGCGGTAGTAGCGGAGGTTCTTGCTATTCCGCACTGTTTTATCATGCCTGGAAATAACTGCTGCGTTAAAAACTGCTCCAATACCTCCCACGATGGATATGGAAAACCTAGTAACAACGGGATACAGTTTTTTAGGTTACCGAAATGGAAAAAGCATCAAGGGGAGCAATTCTCTGACCTGACAAGGAGACGTCGGATTGCTTGGTTGGCTGCAATTAGAAGAAAGGACCTTACTTTCGATCACACACCCCTGTCGACGAGAGTGTGTTCTCTGCATTTTCACTCTGGTACGTTCTCTAAAAATGTATTTATGTAGTTGTCTCTTAAAGCTAGGAAGTGTAGGTTAGCATATGTTATTATGGTTTCTGTAGTGCCTTTGTCTCTGTGTCTTTGTTACCCTCTCAGGCTGTTTCTTACTTAGCACGTGTTCTGCGAGGTCTTTGCCAGTGTAAAGCATAGATTACATAGATTGTACACATAATCTAATTATTCTGTTGTACATAAACCTTCATATGACATTATGAGGTGACCTAAAAAGTACTTGAGATGCTGTTCATGACATAGTTGCCAGTTTAAAGCATTGATTACATAGATTGTGCAAATTATTATATTAATTATATGTTGTTATTATTCTCGTGTAGGTAAACCAGCATATGAGATGTTGGAGAACCACCCTGACTGGACACCATCCCTGTTGTTAGGCCACAATGATGTACAAAAAACAGATGAAGCGAGATATCAGCGGCAAGTAAGGCGCAGGTCCCTGCCACTGGAGCGGCAGCCACCTCCAGCCCAACACCAGCCGCAGGCGCCGCCGCCTCCAGCCCTAGACCAGCTGCAGCCGCCACCAGCCCTAGACCAGCTGCAGCCGCCACCAGCCCTAGACCAGCTGCAGCCGCCACCAGCCCTAGACCAGCTGCAGCCGCCACCAGCCCTAGACCAGCTGCAGCCGCCACCAGCCCTAGACCAGCCGCAGGCGCCGCCGCCACCAGCCCTAGACCAGCCGCAGGCGCCGCCGCCACCAGCCCTAGACCAGCCGCAGGCGCCGCCGCCACCAGCCCTAGACCAGCCGCAGGCGCCGCCGCCACCAGCCCTAGACCAGCCGCAGGCGCCGCCGCCGCCAGCCCTAGACCAGCCGCAGGCGCCGCCGCCGCCAGCCCTAGACCAGCCGCCAGCTGACCCGGACATGGAATGTGGACTCTGCACATCTAGACGAGATGTTATCAACAATCTTCTTGAAGAAAACAGACAGCTGAAGCGTGAGCTTGATACGTACCGGATGAATGAGAACTTTCTGAGTGGTGATGATAACACAGTGAAGTATTACACGGGGCTTCCAAACTTTGCATTGTTCCAGACACTTCTACTCTACCTAACTCCAGATCTGCCTCAAGGTAGAAT